TGAAGTAGTCTGCAAAATCATCAAGTTTGAGTCTTTGTAAACTTGTAATTTACAGAAGTTCGTGGAGAAATTGCTTTTAAAGCCCTTCCGGCAATCTTGCCAACATCGCCATACCGCACAAATGGGAAAGTGGTTCGTCCAACATATGCTGAAGTGAAGAGCAGCTTCATTGACGTTCAGCCAGTAAGTAAAAACACCACCACAAAATCAGCATGAGTAAATGACACCAAACATGCAAATTTGTTCTCTCTGTATTTCCATCCCAATGGACAACATTTAAATAGTGCATAAAACATTTGCAAATAAAACATTCCATTCCGTCTGTTAAAGAGTATAACATTGAGAAAAAAATAAGAGTTTCCACAAGTGAGAAAAACACTAATACTAAATGAATTAACTTTGGTAACAAAAGCTGTCTGGTGATCATTCATTTGGAGGCAGGGCCTAATGTTTGAAGATACAGTTGTGTTGGGCAGTTCTGGAAGAAAATTATAGGGGCCTTGCACTCTGGTATTAAAGAGTTATTAAACATTTAAGATGAAGTGATTGGCATTGGTGCCCTGGTAAGACCAGTGATTTAATCATAATACACATATACACTCACCGATTACTTTATTAGGTACACTTTACTAGTACCGGGTTGGTGCCGCTTTCAGAACTGTCTAATCCAGGGGTGCTCAATCCTGTTCCTGGAGATCTACCTTCCTGCAGATTTCAGTTGCTACCCATATCAAACACACCTGCCTGTAATTATCAAGTGGTGTTCAGGTCCTAATTAATTGGTTCAGGTGTGTTTGATATGGGTAGCAACTGAAATCTGCAGGAGGGTAGATCTCCAGGAACAGGACTGAGCACCCCTGGTCTAATCCTATGTGGCATAGATTCAATAAGGTACTGGAAATATTCCTTAGAGATTTTGGTAAATATTGACATGACAGCATCATGCAGTTGCTGTAGTTTTGTCAGCTGCACATCCATGATGTGAATCTCCTGTTCCACCACACCCCATACTGTAGGTGCTCTATTGGATTGAAATCTGGTGACTGTGGAGGCCATTTGAGTTCAGTTGTCTCATTGTCATGTTCAAGAAACCAGTCTGAGATGATTCACACTTTATGACATTCACGCGTGTTATACTGCTGGAAGTAACTATGAGAAGATGGTACACTGTGGTCATATAGGGATGGACATGGTCAGCAACAATACTCAGGCTGTGGTCTTGACACAATGCTGAATTGATATTAATGGGCCAAAAGTGAGATATCCCGCACACCATTACACGACCACTACCACCAGCTTGAGCTGTTTATACAAGGCAGGATTGATCCATGCTTTCATGTTGTTGACGCCAAATTACCCTACCATTTAAATGTCACAGCAGAAATCCAGACCAGACAACGTTTTTCCAATCTTCTATCGTCCCAATTTTAGTGAGCCTGTTCGAATTGTAGGGTTAGTTTCCTGTTCTTAGCTGACAGGAGTGGCACCCGATGTGGTTTTCTGCTGCTGTAGCCCATCCGCCTCAAGGTTGGACGTGTTGTGTGTTCAGAGATGTTCTACATACCTCAGTTGTAATGAGTGGTTTTAGTTACTGTTGCCTTTCTATCAGCTGGAACCAGTCAGACCATTCTCCTCTGAACTCTGGCATTAACAAGGCATTTGCACCCACAGAACTGCCGCTCACTGGATACCTTCTTTTTTTCGGACCATTCTCTGTAAACCCTAGGCAAGGTTGTGCATGAAAATCCCAGTATATCAGGAGTTTCTGAAATACTCAGACCAGCCCTTCTGGCACCAACAACAATGCCACGTTCAGAGTCACTTAAGTCATCTTTCTTCCCCAAGATCATCTGGACCATGTCTACATACATGCCTAAATGCATTTTAGTTTGCTGCCATGTGATTGGCTGATTAGAAATTTGCGTTTACGAGCAGTAAGTGTACCTTATAAAGTGGCCGTGTGTGTGTATATTGTATCCATGCAGCATTTATCAATGTATATTAAATAACTTCAAATGTATTCTTTCAAGGTTGGAACTAATATGGTTCAGTACCTGAACAGTGCGATGACCCAGGATCCACCACACATACTTGTGCTTGGGGACAAAGAACACTCTTCCCAAGTGTACGTCGTTTTCAGCGGGCAGGCAGTGGAACAGGAGACATTACTGCAAGCCGTGGATTCATGTTTTAAACTTTTTCATGTCTATGACATGAACTATCCCAAGCCCTCTGCCCCCATTTGGGAGTTTTTGCAGCACGCAGTCTATAACATCCCCGGAGGCGTTCCTTCAGCACACTGCAGCCTCCTAAAAAACTTTGTATTTCGCATTACTGATCAACAGTAGCTTTATGTAATTTTGCTTGCTTATGTTCTTAATTTTGTGTTAGAATTTGTGTACTGCATTAAACCATTCAGTATGTTTAAAAAAGGGTTTTGAATTGTGTATTGTACACAGCTTGACTATTTAATGTGCACATTTTAAGTTCATTTTCAGTAAATGCTTCAAGTATTGTTTGATTTAGAAAGGAAATACTTGTTTATAACATTTTTTACACTCAAATATGAAATAAAATGATCAAAAAATAAAATGGATTGCTTTTTAGTGAAGTTTTTTAATTAATTTCAAGAGGAGCTCTTGATATGATTGATCACAGCTGGTCTCTCATTCGTAATCAGCAATAATGTGACGGCAGCCATATTTTCTGTTTCTCAATATGCGTTCTTCAGTGGTCTTGCGTCCTCGTGTTCTCGTGTAATGTCATCATCAGCTGCCCAAGTTCAGTTCAAATACTCAAGACCGCAAGTACGGAGGACACGTGAAACTTCCCGAATGTGATCTTGATATCGAGGACGCACTGATGCAGACTTGAGCACCGAACTTGCTCTAGAAGTCCCAGAAGTCATTGCGACTGGAGGTGGGAAGCGCAGCATTTTATTTAGATTTATTATTAAAGTTCTGAGATATGACTTATTTGCCTCAGGAGTTTCCCTAAATGAAACGGTAAAAGTAAACATCACCATGAACATCTTAATAAAAGATTAAACACATTAAGGGTGTTTGTTTGCTGAAATTCATATTAAAATCTGTTTTATTTATATTGTGCAACATAGATTTATAATGTTTTAATGCAAAGTATATATTTTAAAAAGGGGAAAAACAATAAATGCTTGTATGAATGCTGTAATGTTTAAATAATTTACCACCTAAAACGTGTGAAGGTCATGTGACCATCAGGAAGAATGCAGCATCTCAATTCTCAAAGGACGCATTCTCTGCCCTCGCGGTCTCCTGAGTTCGTTCTTCCGAGGACACCTGGCAAGACCGGTCTCCACAAGAACACAAGTCCGTTCTCTGCGTTCTTGGAATTGAGAAACAGCCTATGTCAGACCACACACCACGCACCAGCTGATTGGTGGAGAGGAGACAGAGTGAAGAAGCCAATTATGATATGGGGAGGGTTAGGAGGCCATGATGGACAGGCCAGTGGGCAAATTTGGCCAGGATGCCGAGTCATACCCCTACTATTTTTTGAAGGAGATCCTGGGATTTTTAACAACCACAGAGAGTCAGGACCGCGGTTTAACTTCTCATCCGAAAGACAGTGCTCACTGAGTAGTATAGAGTCCCCTTCACTATACTGGGGCATAAGAACCCACACAGACCACAGGTTGAGCGCACCTTGTTGATCTCACCACTTCCAACAGCAACCTAGCTTTCCCATGTGGTCTCCCATCCAGGTAGTCAACGAGCGCAGTCCTGCTTAGCTTCAGTGGGCAACCTTGTAAAAGTTACAGCTAGCTGCTGTGACGAATCCCCTCTTCCACCCCATCTCCTCCTTTTCCTTATTTACCAGGGGGAGCTTTTGAGACCTACCTGATCTTGAAACGCCTAATTGGGCATCAATTGGGCTCAATTATCTCCAAGCTCAGGGTTCTTTCCCAGGATTAGTGATGGGTCGTTCACGAACGATTTGTTAATTTTGATTGAATCTTCAATATGACTCGGGAACTACGAGTCCTCTCAGGGAGTGATTCGTTCATCCGCGTGTGCGTACATTTGTGCAGGTAGTATCGTTAATTTCAAGTCTTCATCACATTGGCAGAAGCCAATCATATGCGTTTAGAGCCAGAAAAAGAATGATCCGCTCAACTTTCGAGTCCTCTATTGGGTCTGAGTCACTCGTTCATCACGGGCCAATCATACGTGTTTAGAGCTGGAAAAAGTTTTGATCCGTTCATCTCTCGATTCATTTATTGGGTCTGAGTCATTCATTCCTCAGGGGCCAATCATATGCGTTTAGAGCCAGAAAAAGAATTGAACCGTTCAACTCTCGAGTCCTCGGGTTTGAGTCATTCTGTCACGTGATGAACGAACCATCATGGCTTCTATCGGCTTAGACTGTGCATTGATTAAGATTATATGTGACTGTCAGTGTAACGTGAATGAACCCCTGACATTTGAAGACATGAATCAACCTTTTGGGTTAGTTGTAGATGTGTTTGGAAGCAATTCGTTACATTTTAATAATAATTTGGCAAATTGAACCAAATGAACGAAATTACTCGAAAAAAGATTTGTTCATCTTGATGAACGAGACTCAAAGATCTGAGTCAGTAAAATGATCCGAACTTCCCATCACTACCCAGGATAGCATGCCAAACAGCGTCAAGCGTGTGAACACTTGAAATAACATGAAAAATTGAAAGATTAATAACTCTATTGTAAGTAACAATAATAACTTGTAAGTCTCACTTTTTTTATGTATTTTTGGAGCAATTTAATACTAAAGCATTAAATCCTTCTTGTGCTGTGCAAGTTGGACCGAGTTGTAAACTATAACTACTAAACTATAGGTCAACAATGCATACTTCTTCCTTTACATTATTTTCCCCCGTCCCCATCTTCTTTTGTATTCAAAACAGTAACCCAAACAGTTTTTCACCATTTAGATTTTTTTGTGTGAAATACCCATGTGTACTCAAGTTCTGCTCGTTTCTTCTGCATTGCTTTGTAAATCATGAGTAGCCAATGGGTGTGGTGTTTACCTGGAGGTCAGCTACGTAATCATTCACTGCTCTTTATAATCTGTGTAAGTTTATCGTTCAGTGCTGTGGAAGTGTGTCTGCAGGTCTGCAATCATCAAACTTCAATCTAAAGTATCTAAACCCGGAGTTTAGAAGAGACCAAACTGACAACTTGATAAGCTGAGGTAATTTTTAAAAAAGTAATTAAACAATTTAGCTTTCTAATGCTTTTTTTTTTTTTTTAACTGTGAATGATTTTGCAACATTTTACATTCTCAGTGTCTTCAAAATGGGGATTAGTATGTAAAAATATAACTTCAAGTAACAACGGCAATTTCACTCTGATATAAAGGTAAAGCTGTCACTGGAGCAGCACCTGTGGTACACTTTTAGTCATGAATATGTCCTTGAGGTACACAAATGTACCTCTTCACCCTTCGATGCACTACATGGGTCTAAATTGACCCGTCTAAGGTTATTTTTTCTATATCTATTTTAAAGCTTGTGCATTAAAGGGTTAAAAACTTTCTGTCCAAGTGGCAGCTGTTTTGTCTTTATTTCTGACAGAGATATGAAATTTCAGCAGAATAGGCAGTAGTGTTAAAAAATATTGTGTTGAAGAACATACTTTGCCTTTACATCAGTTATGATTGGTTTTATTAAAATGGTTTGAGTAACTATGATATTAAAAAGCTTTCCCAGTACTGGGTTGTGCCTGGAAGGGCATCCGCTGCGTAAAAACATTTGCTGGAATAGTTGGCAGTTCATTCCACTCTGGCGACCTCTGAAATAGAGGCTAAGCCCAAGGATTAATATAAAAAGTTTGTATAACTTTTGCTAGTATGGGCTCATGATCGCCTGTGTGAAATTGGGTGAAGATCAGACAAACAATCTAGGATAGGTGCAGGGGTTTAGCCATAATTTAAAATGTGGGAGGATATACAGTACCTGTACCTTTTTTTCAGGTAAAAGCCAAGTTTTTTTTATTACTTGTGTGCTTATGATAACAAACAGGGAAAAGGGAGAAACAAAATGGACTTTCTGTATGTTGCACATTGCACTTTACAATCTCAGGGAAAAAAATGCAGAATCTTTCACCTTTAGGAAAAGGTTTAAATTTGGCCACAGTGTGCTTAATTATTTAGGTTTTTACATTTTAAATATGTCAAAGACGTTTTCAAAATGACAATTATTATTATAAAGTGTTATTGTAGAATTTCTCTATGAATATGCAACATATATTAAAGTGTTTAAAACTATTGACATAAGTACTTCCCTCAGGGTTTCGGTATAGGGTCTCTTTGGCATGGACCAACAGATTTAAATTTTCATTGGTTCCTTGTGCGACTGATTTGCTAAACGTTGCTGATGTGATGTAAATCTAGTATGGTGGAAAATAAATTGCTCCAAAAGGGAACAATAAAGTTTACAGTAACACTTTAACTGATTAAATTTATTATTTTTATGTATTTAAATATAAAAATAATAATAATAATAATAAATATATATAAATATATATATATATATATATATATATATATATATATATATAAAATAATTATATATATAATTAAAGTTTATAAGTGTTCTATTATTGTTTTGTTAATCTACAGACATGTCAAAGCATGAACTGTGTTTATTTGCTTTATCAGAGGTTGTAGTAAATTTATTGCCATTAAAAGCATAGGTGGCGGCTCGGTGGTTCAGTTGTTAGCACTGCCGCCTTAAAGCAAGAAGGTCCTTGCTTCGAGTCTTGGCTGGGCCAGTTGGGCAAGTTTGCATTATCTCCCCGTGTTGGCGTGGGTTTCCTCCACGGTCCAAAGACATAAACTGTAGGTGAATTAGGTTAACAACCTTCACCTGTTGAACAAGTCTTAGGCATCAATAAGGCATTTTCGCCAATTGAAGGGCAGCTGATTGAATATTTCTCCTTTAAAGACCACTCTCTGTATGCGCTAAAAATGGTTGTGTGTGTAAAAAAACCCAGTAGATCAGCAGTTTCCAAAATACTCCATAATACAGATCATGCCAAAATGGTTGTCAAAATGACTTTGACATCCTTAAGCATGCTTGCGCACTTAAATGGAGGGTTACAGTAGGTTAGGTTCAACTACTGTATATCCATCCCAAAACTTGGCTGCTTTAAAATATGGAAAGAAAGTTTTCTAAATATACAGCAAAAAATATTCTCCAAAAACTTACGTCAGTACATAAAAACAGGGCTAAAACCCAAACACCCAAAATGGCTGAAGTGAACATTAGTGCTGAATCCGAAATCACCCAAATACATAATAGTGTGAAAATTATAAAGCACTATTTAAGGTTACAGTGGTAATATGGGATACAGCCTGGGTTTCATTACTCTAGATGCCACAAAGACTAACTAGACCTAGTCCAAGTCTAATGATTTGGCTAAACCAAATTTTTATTTGATTACATTTTCATTTATTAATTTTCCTTCAGCTCAGTGCCTTATTTATTAAGGGCCGCCTCAGCGGAATGAACCACCGACTGTTCCAGCATATGTTTTACGCAGCAGAAGCCCTTCCAGCTGCAACCCATTACTGGGAAACATCCATACACTCACATTCTCTCACACACACACACACATTATTACACTTCGGCAAATTTACATAATCTGATTTATTTATACCACATGTCTTTGGACTGTGGGGGAAACCTTAGCACCCGGAGGAAACGCGCCAACACGGGGAGAACATGCAAACTCCACACAGAAATGCCAACTGACCCAGCCCGTGCTCGAACCAGGGACCTTCATGCTGTGAGGCGACAGTGCTAACCACTGAGCCACCGTTGATTTTAGATTTTCATTTTTTGTTTCCATAGTTACTGATTTAGTTCCACCTGTCTCTTTTTTAGTTGCTTGTACTCTTTTGTTCGTAGGCCTGGTGATTTATTCCACTGTTTTTCTTTTACAGCCTGCATCATGGATCTTAACGGAGAGACCGTGGCTAGAGCAGAACTACTCAAATGTAGGTCAACACACTCTATTTCTTCATCAGACACCATTTCAGCCTAAACCAATCTCGAATGTGACCCTTAATCGCAAAAACATTTTAAGTCTCAGTGATATATGTCAGAATGGCCATAAAATACATTGTATGGGACAAAACTGTAGATGTTATCTTTTATGCTCAAATTGATTACAATAATAAGTAAAAATAATTTTCCATGAATTTTACATTTTCTACTGTAAATATAAAAATATATTTTTTATTAGGAAAATGCACAGCTTAGAGTTTGTTAGAGAGTTTGAGGCAATTGTCATAATATTTAAACATGCATATACAGTTGAAACCAGAAGTTTACATACACTCTAAAAAAGCAACATAACCATTTAAGAAACATGTCTGATGGTAAATCTTACTAAAGGATAACCATTTTAGGTCTGTTAGGATTACCTAAATTATTTACATTTGCTAAATGCCAGAATAATGAGAGAATTCTTTTATTTATTTCTAGACAGTCAAAAGTTTACATATATTTCCTTGGTATTTTTTTTTTTAGCTTTGCTTTTAAACTGTATAGCTTTGGTCAAATGTTTTGGCGTCCCTTCACAAGCTTCTCACAATAGTTTGGACGAATTTTGGCCCATTCCTCCCGACAGAATTGGTGAAACTGACTCAGATTTGTTGGCTGTCTTGCTTTTTCTCTCTGCCCACAAATTTTCTATAGGATTGAAGTCAGGGCTTTGTGATGGCCACTCCAAAACATTCTTTAAAGCACATTTTAACTAATGTGGCAGTATGCTTAGGGTCATGGTCCATTTGAAAGACCCATTTATGGCCAAGTTTTAATTTCCTGGCTGATGTCTTGAGATGTTGCTTCAGTATTTCTACATAATGTTCTTTCTTCATAATGCCATCTATACTGTGAAGTGGACAAGTCCCTCCTGCAGCAAAACAGCCCCACATTATGCTGCTGCCCCCATAGTTGGATTGGTGTTCCTAGGCTTGTAAGCTTTCCCCTTTGTCCTCAAAATGTAACACTGGTCATTATGGACAAACAGTTCAATCGTAGTTCCATCAGACCACTGGACATGTCTCCAAAAATTTGTCTTTTTCCCAGTGTAATTTAACTAATTGTAATCTGGCTTTTTTTGTTAATTCTGGCTTGTAGATTTTCCCATGTTGTCACACAAGGAAGCAGTGTGTTTGAGTTTTTTTCCTTAAATACTATTCTACAGTTGTGCCTCCAATTAACTCAAATGTTGTCAATTAGCCAATCAGAAGCTTCCAAAACCTCGACACCATCATCTGAGCTTTTTTAGAGGCAAAATAATCTAATATGTAAACTTGACTTTTAAGACAATTTCTCAAAAAATATCTCTCTAATTAGTCTGTTATTAAACATGACAGAAACAAATTTGATAATTCTAATTTACCTAAAAGAGAAAAAGTTTAGTCACATTAACATCTGAGTTTTTTTAAATGATTATGTGCCTTATCTACAGTTTATGTATGTGAACTTCTGCTTTCAACTGTGTGTGTGTGTGTGTGTGTGTGTGTGTATATATATATCCAGCCATTTGCTAAAATAATTTAAGTTGCTCAAAAACATCACATGGTCCTATTCAGACCCTTGGCTCAGTATTTAGTAGAAGCATTATTTTGATCTAATCTAATACAGCCTGTTTGGAAAAGATGCACCAAGTTTTGCACTGGGGATTTGGGTATCCTCCACCATTCCTCCCTGCAGATACTCTCCAGTTCTGTCAGGTTGGATGGTAAACGTAGGTGGACAGCCATTTTTAGGTCTCTCCAGAGATGCTCAATTGGGTTTATGTCAGGGCTCTGGCTGGGCCATTCAAGAAGAGTCAGAGTTGTTGTGAAGCCACTCCTTCGTTATTTTATCTGTGTGCTGAGGGTCATTATCTTGTTGGAAGGAAAACCTTCAGCCCAGTCTAAGGTCCTAGGCACTCTTCATCCAGGATATCTCAGTACTTGGCTGAATTTATCTTTCCCTCGATTGCAACACGTCGTCCTGTCCCTGCAGCTGAAAAACACCCCCACAACATGATGCTGCCACCACCATGCTGCACCGTTGAGACCGTATTGGACAGTAGATGTGCGGTGCCTGGTTTTTCTCCACACCAACCGCTTGGAATGAAGGCAAAAAAGTTCTCATCAGATCAGAGAAGCTTATTTCTCACCATCCTGGAGTCCTTCAGGTGTTTTTTTTTTAGCAAACTCTATGTGGGCTTTAATGTGTAGGGTCACTCTGCAACAACTGGTGGAGGGCTTCAGTTATGCTAGACTTTCTATTGCTTTCTCCCATCTCCCAACTGCATCTCTGGAGCTTAGCGTTAGCGATCTTTGGGTTCTCCTTTACCTCTCTCACCAAGGCTCTTCTCCCCCGAAAGCTCTGTTTGGCCAGATGGCCAGCTTTAAGAAGGGTTCTGGTCCTTCCAAACGTCTTCCATTCTGTGTTTTTCTGTCAGTATAGGGTGCTGTGTGTACATTAATGCAGGAAAAAATGAACTTAAATTATTTTAGCAAATGGCTGCAATATAACAAAGTGTGAAAAATACTGAATACTTTCCGACCCACTGTACATTTTACCCTCAGATTTTTAAATAGCTGTATCTCTGCCAAGCATTGTCCTATTATAACAAGCCATACCTCAATGGACAGCTTATTTAATCAAGTGATGTATACAGTAAATCTTAATTTCCAAAAAATGCTTGTGGTTCAGGGTCACAAATATTGTGCTTTCATTAATGCTGTCTTTTCTTAAGCGCAGATGCCTGTGATCTCACTCTTGATCCCAACACGGCAAACGATAATTTAATTCTTCTAGACGACAATAAAAAGTTGGAGTGTGCTTCAGAGCCAATGTCTTATCCCGATCACCCAGACAGATTTACCGGCCTCCCGCAGGTTCTGTGTAAGGAGCGTCTGTCTGGACGCTGCTACTGGGAGGCCGAGTGGAAGGGGCAGGGTGACATAGTGGTGTGCTATGAAGGAATCGGCAGGAAAGGAGAAAGTTCTGACTGTCGATTTGGAGCCAATGACAAATCCTGGATCATGAGCTGCTTTATTGGAGAGAAACTGATTGCCTGGCATAATTGTATAGAAGGGTTAATTCCTCTCCCAACAACTCCCCATAACAGAATTGGGGTGTTTCTGGATGAGCCGGCTGGCGTTTTGTCCTTCTTCAGCATCCCTGATGAAAACACACTCAATCACTTGTACACATTCAACACTGCATTCACTCAACCCCTCTGTGCCGGATTTGTGCTTTATACTGAGTCAGTGACTCTGTGTTATCTTAAGTAAAAGAGTCAAAACGATTGTTCTTTCTTTCACCCCCACACAAGCCTCTTAATATTTTAAGCACACATGAAACACACAATGAAATTAAACAACTATAAAAATATCACACTGTGAAACCCACAATATTAAGATGCTCAAACCATTTAAGGAAACCGTTTGCAACAAACCCTTTAAGTTCAAAATCTAATGCTAATGTGTACTGTGAACTTAATCCATTTGTGTAAACGAAGCAATTAGTACTGTGAACTTACTGTTAATTGAAATAATGAGGTATTTAATTAAATCATTAGCTTCAACACTGAGTTCAAAACTTGTTTCAAATGAGAAGAATTAACTTTTTGAGTTAACCGCACTCATTTCATTTGATAAAGTTGACTGTTGGGTTTTAGTGTACATAAGATATAAGAATAAATAAATTGACACACTAACACCTCACATAATTACATGCATATACAGTTGAAGTCAGAATTATTAGCCACTGAATTATTAGACCGCTTGTTTATTTTTTTCCTAATTTCTGTTTAACAGAGAGATTTTTTAACACATTTCTAAGCATAATAGTTTTAATAACTCATTTCTAATAACTGATTTATTTTATCTTTGCCATGATGACAGTAAATAATACTTGACTAGATATTTTTCAAGACACTTCTATACAGCGTAAAGCACAGGTGTCAAACTCAGTTCCAAAAGGCCCGCAGCTCTGCACAGTTTAGTTCCAACCCTAATTAAATACACCTGATCAAACTAATTGAGTCCTTCAGGCTTGTTTGAAACCTACAGGTAAGTGTGTTGGAGCAGAGTTGGAACTAAACTGTGCAGGGCTTCTGCCCTCCAGGAATTGCGTTTGACACCCCTGGCTTAAAGTGACATTTAAAGGCTTAACTAGGTTAATTCGTTTAACTAGGCAGGTTAGGGTAATTAGGCAAGTTATTGTATAATGATGGTTTGTTCTGTAGACTATCGAAAGAAAATATAGCTTAAAGGGGCTAATAATTTTGTCTCTAAAATAGTGTTAAAAAAATTAAAAACGGCTTTTATTCTAGCCGAAATGAAACAAATAAGACTTTCTTTAGAAGAAAAAATATTATTAGACATACTGTGAAAATTTCATTGCTCTGTTAAACATCATTTCGGAAATATTTAAAAAAAGAAAAAAAAATTCAAAGGGGGGCTAATAATTCTGACTTCAACTGTATATTTAATTTCAGTTTGTGCTTTTTGTTATGTACTTGCTTTCATGTTTATTGTTTGAACCAGCCCTGTGTACTTTTTGTCTGTTGAAAAGCAATACAAAAAATAAATGAATTGAGAACATAATTGTAATAATTGCACTGTAAAACCTGATTTATCCTTTGAATTGAGTGTTTGCTGTACTCCACTGCACATATGTTTTATGTAGCGATTAACCTCATATTTAATTGAAAGGTTTCTTTTTGTGGTGCTAACATCTGAACACCGCTGCATCTCACGCTGCAGCAGGGAACGGCACAACCAGTCACACTGTCTATATGTGTTTGGTGAGGTACACTGTAAAAAAAATCCATAATTTTTTTGTTTTATTTGCGGCAGCTGGGGTGTCGGAAAACAATGTAAAATAATGTTCATTAAATTAAAGAAATTTACTTTAAAATAACTAACATTAAATTACTGAGTTTACCAGAAATTTTAATTTAAGGAAATAAACAGTAAAATTACAGATTTTTCTTTTTTTTACAGTGTAGGACTTGAGGAGAGAACATGATTTATCTTTTCTGTTTAGGTTAACGAAAGTTAACAATGTGTTTTTTTGGAGGCGATTAAAATTATTGGTGGGAACAATTCGATGATCAGTGTAAGGCTGCACAATATATAGTTTCAGCATTGATATCGCAATGTGTGCATCTGCAATAGTCACATCACAAAGATATGCAATGTTAAGTCTGGATTATATTTGACCAGGAACTACATAATTGTATTTAATTATGTTTTTATACAGAATTGATTTGATTTATGCAACAAAAAAGGTTTTTTGTTTTTGTCTCTAGTCCAAATATCTACATTTCAAAGTAAAAACAAGATTATTTAAAGGTGCTGTATGTCAGTTTTTGACACTTCTAAAGTATAAGACACCATGTTTGCAGATATTTAAGAAACATTATTTATCTGAAAAACAATACTGAAGTCAGATGTTCTGCTTTGAAAATGTGCATTATGTGCCAGAATGCCTGTATTTGGTTTGTTTGTTTTTTAACCCGCCCAATGCCACTTTAGCCTGTTATATTTCAGCACCCTGGGTTGCCGTGTTGGAAACCCAGTATTTCATTCTTTCAGTCAGAAAGGCTCTCAAAGCATGTGTCCGTGACTGAAATGTGACCTCCAGTGGACAGTACCAGACTCTGAAATGTGACGCAGATTCAGAGTTCCACATGAGGTTATTAATTAGCAAATAATATAAATATTATGAGGAAAAACATTAGGTGAGCAGGTTACATTGTTACCCCGTGTCCTAACAACACACTACGTGATGAGATTTGCAGTGATAAGCAATTTGGCTGTTTGCAACACGACAGAAATTAAAATACAAGCATCCAGAAGCACGGAGTAGTGCACTCACTGCACTCCAACATAATGGTAAGGTTTATAACTATATTAGTACATATTTAACATACTTTAACATTATTAAATGTACATTCTGAATCACTGATATGTATTGGCTTGCATTATTTCACACTTCTGTTTAACTTACTCCACTGGCAGATAATTTTGCTAGTTTTAAAGAAAAACTCTTCATTTTGCCTTATTTCATCTGATTTTTTAAAACAATATTTTTACGTGATCTAAGATTTTTTTTTTCTTTTTTAGATATTAAGACTAGAAATGAGACAAAGAAAAACATTGTTTTGCATTGTGATAATTCAATTTCTGAACCTGAAAAATTTAAAAACCGTCATTCATTCATTTTCTTTTTGGCTTGGTCCCTTTATTAATCTAGGGTCGCCATTACGCAGCATATGCCCTTCCTGCCACAACCCATCTCTGGAAAACATCCACACACACTCATTCACACTCACACACACACACACACACACACACACACTCATACACCATACACTCATACAATGTATCGGATGTTTTTGGACTGTAGGGGAAACGGGAGCACCAGGAGGAAACCCACGCGAACGCAGGGAGAACATGCAAACTCCACACAGAACAGCCAATTGAGCCCAGCCGAGGTTCGAACCAGCGACCTTCTTGCTGTGAGGCGACAGTACTATCTACTGCGCCACTGTGTCGCCTAAAAAACGTTAAACAGAGCTATTCAAGTATCTTGTGAAACTGTATCATATCGAAAAAATAAATAAATAAAATAGGTGACCAGCCCACATTTAAAAAATGGTCCGGCCCTTCATTTGCCAGAATTGCCAGATAGCCAGTCCGCCCCTGAGGTTATCTATATCAAAGAACTGCAAATAAGCAGATCTGTAACAATTTACTGATGAACACACACCTAATTTTCTCTCTGTCCATGGCTGTGGTTTGCTGATCAAATAAAAAACAAAAGACGGGGAGGAGCCGAGTTCTGCCACCGTTCATATCGAATTTAAAGTGATAATTTAGTGTACAGTTTATGAACTAATCGCAAAAGTTTTAGGGGGGCTGAGTAGTAATGTATACAGCCCTCCTAAAATAGGCCTAGCAACGCCCATGGCCTTGAGTAACAGACCCTTATAAAGTTGGGAGAAAATCAAATGTCTTTGGAAAAATTAGTTTAGGCAAGGTGTTTCAAAAGCTAAAATTTTAGAATTTAAGAATATTTCCTAAATTCACAGAAACATTGTATTGTATGTCCTAAATCTTTTTAAACGGGTCTTAATTTCCTATGTCCAAGTAGAGCGACCCTATCTGGCTGACACTCGATAACTTTTTTATACAGTATATATTTATATATACAGTATATATAAGTTTTTATTGTGAAGAGATACAAATCAACACAGTTAATCAAGGAAAACTAAAGTAACACATCTCTTTACATAATCTTCCATTAATACAAACTATACAAAAGTAACGGGGCCATATAAAAAAAATCCTTAGCGAGTGGCCCTGTGTACGTCTAAAATTTCGTTCATATTGGTCTTAAAAGGGTTTTAAAAGTCTTAAATGTGACTTGATGAAACCTGCAGAAACCCTAAGGCAGTGGTCACCAAACTTGTTCCAGGAGGGCCGGTGTCCCGCAGATTTGAGCTCCAACCCTAATCAAACACACCTGAACAAGCTAATCAAGGTCTTACTTCCAGGCAGGTGTGTTGAGGGAAGTTGGAGCTAAACCCTGAAGGGACACAGGCCCTCCAGGACTGAGATTGGTGTTTCGTCTTCTTCCAAATGCAACATTAACGTGTAATTCTGAATAATTGTTTACCTTTTTGGTGATTTTTTAAACCACGAATTAGTCGCAGATTAATTAAATTCTCCGGCGAGGTTCACATTGATCAAAACACAAACAGTTCACGAGGGTCCTGTATCGTGCTGTAATGCTGCTTCCGTTCACTAGGTGGAAGCATCGTCTCACATTATCTCCATTTAGACTGTAGAAAGATATTTGTTTACATGATGTTAAAGTTATAACATTTTTAAATATATACTGACTGTTCAGTATGGCATGTGAAGATTACATTTTAACATCAATAATTGCATAGACCATAATAGTTTGAAAATCCCTTTAGAAAACCACAACTTTACTTGGCTTGACTGCCATATTTTGCTCCTAGTTTTCACTTGAAGATGATGTGATTTCCTGCCATATAGTGAGCGTCTACGTTCTGGTGCAGATCTGTATAACAGGAGGATTTGTTGAAGCTGTTGTACTCGCTGCGTGATATCAATCAATATGCTAACATAATCACGCAGCGCCGCTGACGTCACGCGCGCTACACCGCATCTGAAGTCCAGTTCAAAGCGCTCGTGCTCTGCGGGCTGGCGGTGCGCGTGGACTGAATGAAAGTAGCAGATTGAGCGCAACTTCACGAACGCGTCTCAGGTAAGCGGATTTAATGCCCTTCACGCGTGAGTGTGTGTGTTTATAGAGGCCTGTCTGTGAGTGTGTTTAACGGGAAGTCCTCCATCTGTGGTGCTGCTGGTGCTCTTTACACGCGTGCCTTCAGATGCGGTGCTGTGATGATGATGATGATGATGATGGGTTTGTGATGTTGTGTGATGTAATAGATGTGATTTTATTCCTCACTTATGAGCTCTCCACTGAAGTTGTGATTATATTAG